CCCAGTTTCTATACTGGGCATGACGTGCTGTGGTATGGAATCCCCCTTTGGCTAGTTTGGGTCAGGTGTCCTGCCTCTGCTTCCTCCTGGCTTCCCCTCCTCTCTGGCAGAGCATGAGACTGAGAAAGTCCTTGGTCAGAGTAAACATCACTGAGCAACAACTAAAAACATCGGTGTTATCAGCGTTGTTCCCAGACTGAAAGTCAAGAAACACAGCCCTGCACCAGCTACTAAGAAGGAGAAAAAATGACTGCTGTAGCTGAACCCAGGACCTCATGTAGCTAGTGACAAGAAGGATCCACACCAGGGATGCACAAACCTTTCTGTGGCTTAAAACAAAGCGGAAACCTTCAGTCTAAATGAAGGCAAGACTCTAACTTAGGTTGTGAACTTCTATAGCACTGATCTTCCCACCCATCTCTTCCCACCTCCAGCCCCCAGCCATTCAGAAACTAAGAGTGTGATTCATCTCATCTCTTTTAGATGTCTCTTTGAGATAAGGTGAATCATGATCTAAAAGCCTTTAATGAATTTTCATCGATTATCAAGGTAGCGTAAGTGATTAGCATAGCTGTCAGGTGTCATTTGGCCATATGAATCCTACGCAGAAGTTTTATTATAGTATATTTTCCTGATGCCCTAGCAATTAGCAAAAGTCATTTAACAAAAAGTAAATGTGCCATTCTTCCATTCCCCATTATTCCCAAGAAGAAAACTTTTAAAGAAGGCAGGTATAATTAGGCAATGAAATGAAATTATTATCAATAGGAGAGACATGGAAAATCTCTCTCTTCCTCAGTTATCATTCCTACCCACTCTTCCCTTTCTTATGGCATTATTGCCCCTTGTCTTGTTCTGCGCCTTTAAACCTTTTTATACTCCATGCTGTTTTTTCTGATCCCAAAGGCAGACCCTGCTTACAAACACAATGTAGGCCCACGCATTGTAGTGCAGCTACATGCCATGTGGATGAGAGAAGTAGAAAAAGTTCTCTTTCTATCGTTATTAACTACACTTTTGTAATGGGAGTAGCACGTGTTAGTTCTCCTTTTTGTGGTTTCATGCATCAGTTGTGATACATGCTCCATCCCTGGAGGTGTTCAAGGCCAGACTGAATGGAGTCTTGGGTGACGTGGTTTAGTGTGAGGTGTCCCAGCCCATGGCAGGGGGTTCGAACTAGGTGATCTTAAGGTCCTTTCCAACCCTATTCTATGGTACAACCATGCAAACAAACAGCAAACACCAGCACTCCACTGAGCACTGCAGTAAATGGAAGGGATCATTTTTGTTAATATTTGCTTATATTGCAGCAGGAGAAGGCTGAATTAGGGACCCCTTTGCACAAAATACAGGACATCCACGTGGCCAGAAATTATCTTGTCCTTTACAAGGTCAATCATTGAATTCTAGAATGGTTAAGGTTAGAAGGGACATTAAAGAGCTGAAGAAAGCTCTCTGGCTGCAGTCTAGCCCACTCATTTGCTCATCATCATCATCATTCTGTAATACTCTCAGATCTTCACTTTACTGGTAGAAGTGTTTTTTGGGTCAAAAGGATGATAATTATTTCACCAATGAACATTTTTCAATCATTGTTCCTTATCCACAACTAACGTTGTAAAGAAAATTTCCGTTCCTGTATTTTCTTAAAATAGCTTTTTGCTTCTTTGTTTGTAGGCCCAGAGTAATGAACAAATTTTTCCATGCTGGAGAAATCATAATCTTTTTATCCTTGTAGTTGTCCTGGCAGTAGCACATAAATAGTAACAGTGATCACCAGCTTTAGCTGGAAATTAAATCAAGCTTTATTCTGATTATCCCATACTTCTGAATTAACTTCATTGCATTGTTAATAGTCATCTTAATTAATTAAGTAGTGTTTCAAGTTGAAATACAAATTCAGAGGTTTCCTTTTGCTAATTTACTGTTTTGACACTACCCATTAAGTATCCATTATGTTATCTGACCTCACATATTTTTAATACTAAAATAATGATAACATGAAAGCAATGTAAGGAAACAAAAGAAAAATATCATATCCACTCAAAACCCCTTATTTCTGTCCTCATGCAGCTGCTAAATAAGCCTGTATATTTTAACCCACTTGTAAGCGTTATTGCCCAAGGAGTTAGGCTGGTGAGTTCGTGATGGAGTGCCAAATTCCAGGTAGCTCTTTCTTTACTATTCAATTTATCTACTCAGGCTGCAGATATTACTATCATATTTGTTTTAAGAATGACTGAACAGCATAGATTTCATCGATAAAACTATTTATTATTCTCTAAATAGATATAACAATTTTTCTGTGCATTTAAAAGAGAAATGCCTGATTGAAGTAGTAATCTAAGCAGGTTATTGTCAGTAACATCTTATTTGTTCAGCTGGAAGTTCACTTTAGCTATATGATCTATGAAAAATTAGCTACATGAAGTAGATTTTTATGGAAATAAAAGCACAGTAATTTCTGTCCTTTCTCTTATTGAGACATAAAATTCTTGTTACACATGAAGGCAATGTTTTGTCTGTCTATGCAGTGTGTCAGAGGATAGGGCACGTAGGGAAAGGGTAAACCTGTCGTCTATTTCTTCTCCCTTCCTTTTCCTGAACCACATCAGCATGTATTACTGACACTGTTCCGAAGTTTAGCTCTTTGGGTGTTTTTCTAGGAATTTCACACATCACTGAACAGAAGTTATAAATGTCAAAGGACTATTCTTTCTTATTGTATGTATCCGTAGCCAAAGATATTTGTGTCCTAGAAAAATATGCAAAGCAGATTTAAATCCAAATCTCTCACTGTGGTACTACAGAAACTTGCAGAATCTGCAGTACACCTCTCCAAGGACTTTTCAAATTGTGCGTGGAAAATCAGAATATGTTTAATTTTGTTCTGATAGTGATGCACTTTACATCAATATTTAACAAGAGAAACTCCAAGCATCAGCGTTTTATTAGTTGTAATGGCGAGTTGTGCCATAACTTCTTGGTGTAGGCTTTACTGGCCCCTGGTGAGGACTAGGCAGGGAATAGAATCATCACTGTTACTCTTCTTTTTGTCTCTACCTGACTATAATTGCACATGACAAAGGATTTCCTTGATTTATTTTTGTCCCTGACCTTTCAGAGAAAGTGAAAAAGTGTTGACCCCCCAAATATTTCTTATGTTGCTTGTATTTCTGTAAAAAACCCTGTGATTGTACAGTGGATTAAATATATGCTACTCTTGCACCCTCTCTAAAGTTATATACCATATTGCTAATGTTTTGTTTGCCTTATCTTCTCCAGGTCTAGGATTCAGTATTGCAGGAGGAGTTGGAAACCAACACATTCCTGGGGACAACAGCATTTATGTTACCAAGATTATTGATGGAGGAGCTGCGCAAAAGGATGGGAGATTGCAGGTTGGAGATAGACTTCTTATGGTAAGTATGACAAATTTAAATCACATTTTATTTGACAGAAAATGTTCTCATGTGGACTTTCATTCACCATACATCTTACTGGTGGTAACCATTCCAACTTCAAAAATAATGATGAGTTACATTTTCATCATCTTTTTTTCCCCATTCTTTCTATATATTTCTGAGAGTGCAGTTAAAAAAGCATTACTCTGGAAACCCAATATTTTATCAAGAGAAACTAGTGGCTCGCATTACTTTGATAAACCTTTAACTGAGAAGAGGATGTATGTATTAGGCATATCAGTGACAAGTCAAAATGCACCAGAAAACTTTAAAAGAAGATTTCAGACAAACTGTTCATTATAACAGTACTGATTCTACTGCTCATGTTAAGAAAATGGGAAGATGTGAAAATGTGCCACTCCCAGTGGACTATTACCTACATTTCAGTACATGTAGGAATGCTTTATATGTATGCTCCATATAGATGTTCAAAGAAAATACGTTTTCCATCTCTTTTTCCAGAGGAAGTGTACTTACTGTTCTAATTAATCTCACTTCAGAAATTCTTCCTGGTATTTGCAGTGCTAGTGGGTTGTTCTTTGTAGATGATTCTTTCCTGCTCAGATTGTTTATTTTATTCTTTGTTGAAGGGGAAATCCTGACCCTGGTGAATCAGCAGAAGTTAATCTATGTCAAACTGTATTCATGTTGATGCATTTGCATAGATTTCAGCAGGTAGAGAATGAGTGCCATGAAAGAATGTGCTGCAGTAGCTCTGTTTTGTGGAGTGGTACGTAAGGAGTAAAAAATTGCCTTGACCTTTTTTTGCTGCCTGCAAAACTGTTCCTAATTGAGGTTTTATTTATGTGGCTGGGGACGCTGTGTTCCAGGCACATGTGAAGATAAGCATTCATTTTATACAGGGTATTAAACAGAACTAGAAAGGCACTTGTTTGCTGGGTCAGTGACTTTTAGACTTTTTTAATTAACCCAAGTGGATAGATAAAACAGATTAAGGATCAAATGGTGTTATCAAAATCAAAGGAAAATGAAACTAGAGCTTAGAATTTCTTTGGCATTTCTTTGCAGTTTCTCAGCACAGCAAAATTCAAGTCACTGTTGTATAGTGAAGGTTTGGGTCATTTTGCTATAGAAATGTATATTTATATTCGCTAAATTTACACCTTACATTGTTATTTTGCACCTTGTAGCAAATCTGCTTGTGCTCAGCTGTTGTTGTCTTTCGAATTCCTTGCAGTTTTTGTGTCATCTGTAAACAGATGCACACCCTGCATTCACCATCTCCTGCATGATTTGATCACATGAATTTAAATAGGAAAATAATTTTATACACCACTATGTAAAAATTCATTCTTTCCAGATTTTTTATAGGATGTATCTATTAAACATCTCTTCTCAGTCTCGAACCTGTTGTTCAGTGCAGTCAGATATGCACATTTCTTCGTTGTGACAAGTTTATACTCCTGATTTTCACTTCTGAAAAGGAGCAGCCATTGTTCTCAGTGTGTTTGCTGTCTTTATACTGCATCCTTTCAGTCTGGACCTGTTCTTTACTTACTGTCCTCTCATGTTATTGCTGCATGTAAAATGAGCAAAGAAAATCAATCATAATATTATTCTCCACTAGTTATGTACATCCAGACCTAAGTTTTCACTATTGGATAAGAAAATCCTAGTGAGTTTACTCTTTGTATATGTTAATTATTACATTTTGGAGACAAATTTGCAAGATCAAAATCTGTTTCTAAAATCTGTGCAGATTACATCCGTGTTCAAACTTAAACAGGGGAAGTTCAGGTTAGATATAAGGAAGAAGTTCTTCACTGTGAGGGTGCTGAGGTGCTGGAACGGGTTGCCCGAAGAAATGGTAAATGCTCCATCCCTGGCAGTGTTCAAGGTCAGATTGGACAGAGCCTTGGGCAACATGGTCTAGTGTGAGGTGTCCCTGCCCATGGCAGGGGGGTTGGAACTAGATGATCTTAAGGTCCTTTCCAACCCAAACCATTCTATGGTTCTGTTTTCTGGTTCTCTCCAACAAGACACCCTGATTTCTTTACAACTTGTGTAGCATCAGTATCTTTTCTCTCCTGCTTTGTGAACTGTCTGTCAGTTTATGGCATTAACTTCATGTTCCTTTGTGAAAAGTGAGTGAAAGAATTAATTACTTTCTTTTGGCAGTGTATCAACACAATATTACCCTTGTCATCTGTACAGTCCTCCTTCCGCTTCACTGATTCCTTATTGATTGTATATTTGAACACTTTTTTATCCCTCTTTTCTCAGTAGTGAATCCTTTCTTGATCTTTGGGGTTTTTTCCATAATTTCTCTACAAAATTTACCAGAATTTGTCATCCTTCTGGAATTCTCAGTAGCTTCTAGGAAACTTGTTTGATTTTTGTATCTGTGTTCTGATAAGTTTCCTCAGAATGCTTTTAGATCCCAAAGAACATGCAAATCAAGTGCATTACAATTTAAGATGTAATAAAAGAGATGCTGCAAAATCAAAATTAATATTGAAATGCAAGCCAGTTAGGTGCCATCTGGGCATTTTGCAGCTTGATGACCCTCTGGTCATTAACTGCAGATTGTTAATAGTGTGTTAAGCATTCAAAAGATGTAGTATGTAAATACCGAGCATTGTGAATATGTGAAATCCATACATGGGCATGTTATGCAGTTAGGTTTCTATGACACTGAGCCTGCACTTAAGGCTTATTATCCTGAGCACTTACACAGGAAAATGCTGCACTGTAGGATAATCCTGAGGTGCCCGTTAGAAAAATTACTGGAGGATGCATAAGACTGCTTAAGCTGAAAGCTGAACTCTGTTTTTGTTAGGTATCTGTGAGAGGAACAGACCAGAGCTCTGCTCTGAAGACTTAAAGCTAGTACAAAAATACTCCCTTACTGTACTTTGGTGGTAATACCCACTAATGTCTGCTACTGCTGCTGGTAGTGCCTGTGGTGAGAATACAGCTGCACTGGGTGTCTCAGCTAGATTGCTTCTCTTTGTGGTGGAAGGGAGCAAAGGGAAATGACGCTCAGAGCATCATAGGCTAACATGATAATTCAGGATCAGCTGTAGGTTGCTCAGAGCACAAAACTCTCTAAGCTTGCACAGCCTCTCCATGAAACCTATTCTGCTACTCAACTGTCCTCATGAGGAAAATACCTTATAAACTGATCCTCTTCTGTTCCAACATACACCTGCTGTCTCCCATCCTGTTTAGGCCTGTCTTAAAAGCTGAGCTCTGTCTTGATGACCTTCCTGTAAGCACCAGGGGTCTGCTGTTAGTTGTCCCTAGAGGTGCTCCTGCTCCAGGCTGAAGAAGCCCTGCTCCCCCAGCATCTCCTCACCGGGCTATTGTTCCAATCCCAACTATCTTGTTAGCAGTCCCCTCAACTTGCTTATCTTTCCTACAGCGCAGGGGCCAAAACTGATCAAGTACAGTCTAATGAGTGGCAACTACTGGGGAATAATCCTTTCCTGGGTGCTGTTGACCTCTTTGCTGCCAGGACGCACAGCTGGCTCATGCCCAGCTTCATCGGGAGCCCCAAGCACTTTTCCATAGAAGTGTGACCAGCAGGTCGAAGGAAAGGATCCTGCCCCTCTACTCTGCTCTTGTGAGACCCCACTTGGAGCACTGGTGCAGTTCTGGTGTCCTCAACATAAGAAGGACATGGAGCTGTTGGAGCAAGTCCAGAGGAGGCCACGAGGATGATCAGGGGCTGCAGCACCTCCCATATGAAGACAGGCTGAGAACATTGGGGCTGTTCAGCCTGGAGAAGAGAAGACTGCGTGGAGACCTCAGAGCAGCTTCCAGTGTCTGAAGGGGGCTGCAAGGATGCTGGAGAGGGACTCTTCATCAGGGATTGCAGCGATAGGACAAGGGGTGATGGCTTTAAACTGAAACAGGGGAAGTTCAGGTTAGATGTAAGGAAGTTCTTTACTGTGAGGGTGGTGAGGCGCTGGCACAGGTTGCCCAAATTAAGTGATAAAAGCTTCATCCCTGGCAGACCACATTGGATGGAGTCTTGGATGTCATGGTCTAGTGTGAGGTGTCCCTGCCCATGGCAGGGATTGGAACTAGATGATCTTAAGGTCCTTTCCAACCCAAATGATTCTATGATTCTATAATTCTACTACCAGGCTGCCAGTGCCCAGCCTGTGCTATTGAAGAGGGTTAGTCTGTGCCAGGGGCAGGACTGAACTGTTTTTTCCTGTTGGACATCCTAAAGTTCTTATAAGCCCCTTTGTCCTGCCTATTCAGGATGGCACTCCTGCCCTCAAGTATATGGACTTACTCTCACACTGAAGTGTCATCTGCAGATGTGATGAGACTGCACTCCTCACCAGGTCATTGGCAGTGATGATCAGAAAGTACTGAAGAATGGTTTAAGTTACTACCTCTCAGATAATAATTACTTTCTTATATCTGATACCACCATCTCACTTTGGAAGAGTTTTCTACAGAATGGATAAATGAGAGATCAGTATAAAACTGTTTGTTTTTACTAGTACAAAACACCACCAATAACTAGAAGCAGGTATTCTTCAGGGAAAACTCTGAAAACATTAGGCTTTAAAAGGAAATTTAAGCTAATATTTATCTAAGTATTAACTTTTCAAAAATTTGTCTTTTGTGCCAAATATTCATGCATGTTTCGGCCATCTCCTGTTGCTTCTTGGCCAGTGTAGTCACAAAGGTCAGACTTTTGTGGGGTTATTTATGCTTATAGGAAAATTGGTGCTACTCATACACCAGAAGATTTAATTTGATTCTGTGTTCTTGCTGAAAACGGCAGAAACAGAAGTCACTTTCTTTTTCAGAAATTTAGGCTTGCTTTTTACCCAGTTCTGTGCTGAGGAAAACATATTGTTTGGTGGTTTCATAGGGCTGCAAAGGGGTTGTAATTACATGGTTGTGAATATGTTCCTTGCAGGATCCCCTACTGCTATCTGGTTTTTTAAATCGTATGTGATTGTTTTAATGTA